GGTTACAAGCTATGTATGTTATGAGCGTTTCCTGTAAGCCCGGCCGTTTGATATTTTTGCTATGGTCCCACAGACTGCTATAACAAAAGCATAAACAAACATACACGTTTTTGTGGCACATGTTTGGCCCTGCTCTGATTGGTCAGTTTTTAAATTTTACAAACTGGAATTGTTCAGTTTAAAAGAGTAGTATTTTAAAAGACTATTCAACTGGTTATGTGTTTTTATCTGAAGAGTGGCAAGTTGTGTCATGAAACTATTTAGTAATAACAAAATGTCTAATCAAGTTGAAACTTATTGAATTTTGTATTTTATTTTTACTCTATTTTGATCTAGAATACCATTGAGCACTCTGCTGATGATCATGTTTATGCATATTTTTATCACTATAAATTTATATATATATATATATATATATATATATATAAAACACATACATAGCTTGTAACTACTATATATTTTGATATATATATATATATATATTTATCAACTTCTATATTGTCTTGCCTGCAAGCATGGAAAGATGGCATTGAGTGAGTCACTGTGAGCGTAGTTTAGAAAAAAAAAACTAATGCTCATAATGCTATTAGTGCCCCTGTGAAAGAAAGTTAATTATTACATAAATACATTTTTGAGTAGTTTGTATTGTATGATTATCAACCAAACTGTATATAATCATATACCCTAAAATCTTAATCTCAAGGAGAATCCCCATCTCAAATTTAAAGGCCCCACTCCTTCAGCTTGCAAAATTAGCCTCGAAAAGAAGCCCATAATCTTGGCAAACAAAATAAATTAAAAACATGCTTATTTTGTACAGTAGTTATTTATTGTTTTATAGTGCCAAAAATTCCAAAAATTTACAGCATTCATTTCGAAAAGAAGCCCATCTCGAAAAAAAAAAAGCCCATCCAAAGTTGGCAAAAAAAGAAACCCCGGGCTTCAATTTGAGGTTTTACAGTAGGCTAATTATAGTTACGAGTAATTAACATTAATTTAGTTTTTCATTAAATTTGATAGCCTCACTTTTATTGAAAGAAAGTGCTAAAAAATACTTTAACTATATTTTTAAGTATAATTAATTATCAATCTGATTTGTTTTCATAAAGGAACTGGTCTGTGGAAAGCATTTGCTTTCCTTAATTCAGAAGTTGATGGAACAGGATCAAGACTACTAATACGCTGCTGTTGATATGCTAGATTCTGCCAACAATGGTCTTGATAACAACGGAATGTCAGTTTGGCCAAAGGTGATCTTATGCTGCAGATCTATCCTATTTTAAATATAAAATGTAGCCATGATTTTGTTGAGCACCATTAAGCTATAGTACATAATGCAAAAAATAAATTATGTACCTTAATCCCATTTACATTTGGAAAATTAGGGTTGGTCATCGGCATTTTTTTTTTGTGTGTTAAACATAGGCCTAATTGTAGAGTTCATTTATCAGTCACCATTACTGGTTCCATACATTTTGGTAGAATTTTGTACCTTATTTAAAAATTCATGGCTTACTTATCAAATTAGTATTTTGAGCTCTTTTGTTGAAAAAACAATGTAGTTTAGGTTCCCTGTCCGAAGACAAAAACAAATGTTTGATTTTAGATGCATAAGATCTATAGAAGAAGTTGATCTCTGCTACTGGTAACAAATCATGTTTAAAGTTTTAAATATATTTGTTTTTTAAATTTCGAATTTATGCAGCTATGTTATTATTACGTGCTTTGGAATTCCCACAAGCCTAGATCTTGATTGAGGTAGATTCAAATTTCAGTGACCTGGAAAAAAAACTTATTCACCAAACTTTTTCAAGAAAAGGGATATTTTAATGAAGTACTGAATATTCAAAACATATACGATTTAGAATTTGGGTCAATTGGAATGGCGCATTAGAAAGGGAACTTTACTGATAATCAGATAGTGACTAGATTTTTCAGTAAGGGTCAATTTACTTAGTAGTGGTTGTGTTTTAACAGATGGTTATAAGCTTACAATTGTAGCTATTGGGGAGTCTGCAACTTGTAGTTGGAGCCTAAAACATCTGACTCTCATTTGACTGATATTGCTGGTTTAGCAAATTGAGCCAGTTAGATTACACAATCAGCCATTGTTTTTTTTTTCAGTTTTTAATATAGTGCTCACCATATACCCTTTTTTTTCTTATGTATATTAATTTATGTACTATTTTGTCTACAGATTCAAGCCGACTTTGATCTTACTGCCCTTAGTTGTACTGATTTTGATTACGTTTGCGTGGAAGTCCAAAAAGCGATAGCCCTGCTCCTGACTTTACACTCACTTATCAAATAAGTACAGCTGATGTTGGCTGTGCTCAAATACAATGCACTGGTGAGTGGACAGTTTAAGGCATGGGTAGTAGGAGGTAGGGTTATTGTAAAAATGCAGAATAGAAGTATGAACCAAATTGGAATGAAGTGCAGTAAAGTAAATAGTTCAAAACGTACTATTTAAGTAGCTAAAGAAACTCAGATTGGGGACCTGTGGCACCTGGTGTTGAATTGGTCAGTACACCAAAATCAGTTTCCTGCTCTTTTCCCACAAGTGCATCTTTAACGTGCATCTAGGCCACGCTGGGCCGATGGTTTATAGTCCTTCAGGAAGACTTTTTCCAGAACCATAGGCAAGGCCGTTCAAGCCATTGCCAATACTGTGGCTGCCTACCACTAGGCCATTCGATTCACCACTCACGATGATAACGATGTTCATTTTTAAGATCATCAATGTTTTTTATTTAAATGGATCACAAATCATGATAATGATTACCGTAAATGCTTGAATAAGCACCACTGCGCTTATAACATTTTTGGAGGCTTCAGTGCGGCCAAAAATATATTGGCTTGGCACTAAATTTCCTTTCTCTTTACCAGGCTACCTATCTTGCATATTTCCGTACTTCAGTAGGCCACATCATCGTATATAAACGTTTATAAAGACATTCTTGTGTCTTTATTGTGTTATTTCTTCATTTTAACACTGAATGCCTTGTATTGAAAACCCTGTTTCTCAAAGTGTTTCATTACACAGGGTAAATATACTCTTGATTAAGCGCCGCGGCGCTTATTAGAGAGCGGCCCTTAGCGAAAAAAAAATTTGGTTTGTTGCAGTGCTTATTCGTGCATTTACGGTATTGGCTGCAACATTATTAGACAAGACTTTTTTATACCTTGTTTTGAGAACTTATTTCTTTAATGATCGACAGGTGAGAGTGGAAGAGAAAAGGATTAATGTAGTAAAGTAATGGAATCAATAATGTTTTAGATTTATATAATAATAGAAATAGGCAATTCTTGTTTTTGGAGATTTCAAGGCAGCAGCAGGCGTAATAAAAATAAAGAAAAGCTTTTATTTTTTTCTGAAATTTTTATTTTTTTGGTGGTGGGTGCGATAATTAGCCAAAAATTTAATTTTATTTTTATTTGAAATCATCATTTTTGGCTGACGGCGGGTTTGCTAACCAAGGTATAAAAAAGTCTTGCCTTACCTCCATAGAACTTGAAAAATATGTCCAATAATGTATGCATTTGTTTTTATGTCAGGTGGGTAGTAATATGAAGAACATAAACATGAAATATGTATACCAACTACATTAATATTTTTACTGTTTTTGTTTCGATTATGATTTCTTTATTTTTTCAGGGCTTGAAATTCTCAGTGGTGCAACTTTGACTATTACTGCTGGTTTCTTAGAAGATCGATCAACAACAGTTGCATTTGATGTTAGTTATCCTACTGGTAATGCTGGGGTTACTGGCGACAATCTTTGGGACGTCAATGTGTATGCAAGTGCTAATGCAGATGGAAGTGGTACAAGGGTTAGTTCTCAACAAGTAACATTACCATGTGAGCTCAAATGGCCCCTGTAAATGGGTCTACTTGTGGCATATATCTATGACCCACTGATGGTAATGGTGATAATTATATAGAGAGCTTTCGATTTGTACGACGGCGCGACGCTAGAAAGGAAGCGCTCGTGTGTGATCATCCTGCCGGGCGGCGAAATTTTTTTTTTCTCGTCATTTAAGGCAGAAGTCAACAGAGGGCGCGCTATACTGGGCGCTATACTCATGAATTTTCAATGAGTTTCGTTCCGAGGTATCGGCGATATTCGACAGCACACACGCAGCTCGCGGCGCTGAAGTCCTAATTCAAACATTAGTATTATTTCATTGTTACTTCTGTATTTTACACAAAATATGTACTATAGTACATATTTTGTAAAATACACATGAAGTAGGTAAAGTGAATTAAAAATACAATTGAGTTATATTTTCAATGGAACATCACAGTTAATTATATCGATTATGAGAATTTAAATTATAAGAGTGTCATTTCCAGCAGAGATCCTCTCGTCTCTTCTACATTCATTATTTTACCTTTTTTGATGGTGAATTTTTCGGGGGATACAGTGTTCGAATAAAGGACATAATACATTGTGTAGCATTTACTGTACTTTAATAATACTAATTAGTCATTATGACGATAATAAAGGTGATAACAACAACAACAACAACATTAATAGTAATATTCAATACTAATAGAAATAATACTAGTATGGTAATAATAACGATATTTAAATATCAATTTTAATAACTAATTAGTGATAACGATATTGAAAGTGATGATAGCAATAATACAACAATAATAAATTAAAGATAATGTTTATTTTTATAATAATAGTAATACTAATTAATAATAATAATAATACTTATAATACTAGGCCTACTTAGTAATAATAGGGTAATAATATCGATCATAAAGGTGACAACAACAACAATAATAATAATAATAATAATATGAGAAAAATAATAACCTAATAAAAATAACTTTTTAAATTACTATTATTAAAATAATAATACTAAGACTAATAAATAATAATAATAATAATAATAATAATAATAATAATAATAAATCGAAAATTATTTATTATTTATATGGTACTGTAATAATAATATCAGCAATTTGAACAATATATAATGTTAATGCTAAGACTAATAATTAATATTAAAACTAACGGTAATAAAAACAACAATAATAATAACAACAATGACAATAATAATAACAGGAATAATAATAACAATAAGTATAGCAATACTTCAAGAACTAGTATTTTATACTTGATGAATTTCTCCTTTTAGTAAATGACTTGTGGCCGAGTTGACTTGTGCCCGAGTTGACTGTAGCCAAACTTTTTGTGGCCGAGTTGACTTGTGGCCGAGTTAACTTGTGGCCGAGTTGACTTGTGGCCGAGTTGGATCGAATTCGGCCGAATACCCTTAGGCCTACCTCAAGTATACGGAAACTGCCGTTAGAATTGTTGTGGACATCACAGCCTGTAATACCCATGGCTCGAGAAAAGAGAAAATAGTTTTTCTTGCTGGCGAAAATAGAATTCTTTCTAGCCCTATGCTGATACGTACGTAGATATTCTCTATGGCGAAAATAGATCTCAAGAATGGAATATGTTATTAGGCAAGGACTGCAACTTTCTAGTTGAATATTCATGAGTATAGCGCGCCCTCTTTTGACTTCTGCCTTAAATGACGAGGAAAACAAATTTCGCTTCCAAGCCCTAGTGCGCACCATAACTTATTTAATTGGCGTCTCATACTCGACGCAGGGTTCCCGGAACGCCGCACTCAGCGGCTAGTGCGAAGCACAACTCAGGGTCAAAAGTGGAATGTGAAATATGGATATGGTTTTGTAGTCAGATTTGCGAGAAAAACTTCAGCGACCCGTATTTATCGACTGAGACGTCAGTGTGAGTTGTAATTTGTATGGCAAGGAGATTGAGCAACCCTTCATTAATATTAAGGGAATTTACGCCCAGAAACTTTGTAGTTATAAATATTTTGGTTATAATAAAAAATATTCATTTTTTGGTGACGTCACACTCACATTAGTTAGCATGCATACGTCATAAGCTAGATACGTCACCTTTTCCTGGTAAGGCAAACTTACCCGGCGTGCTTTTTTCATGGATAAACAAACACCACTGCTTTGCACATGGATGCCTTGCCCAAGCCAGGGCTACAAGAGCCGTATTGTTAGCATTGTATAATACTTAAATAAGGTACCTCTGCAAATGAATTATTCTTAGTTATTTTTTTTTTTCTTATTTTAATTTTATTTCTTCCAAAAGTGTACTTTTTATCACATAAAATTCCACTGTCTTAGTTAGGCCTAGGCCTAGTCTTATGCCTCATCGTCCCCCGCTACACAGTACATCAGCAGCCCCTCCCCCATACAGTACAGACGTTTTGCTAGGTAACAACGTGATTGCACCTTCCTTCCCAGGTGTTCATGTAACATTGACATAATTGTTAGCTAACCAGTTGTGTGTATTTCTTTGTGAAAATGAGTACCGCGGCGTACTCATTTTCACAAAGCATTTGCATCCCCTCTTGGAAAGAGGGATTCGAAATAATTGTCTCCATATCTTCGCTAATTAAATTGATCACTGTAATTTAGCTTACACTTATGAATTTAGGGAGCACTTAAAAAGTGAAATAATCATTTCACTACCCGACAAACTCCGAACTTTATTCATTCATTAGGCCTACATACATAGTTTCATATTGCTGTACTATATACTCCAACATCACTGGCGCATGGTAACAACCAACTGACTGCAGACCATTTCCGGTCACACATTACTCTCCATAACACAGCACCCCCTAGTTCCGTCACCTCTGGATTTCTTTTTTTTTTTCGGATTATTACATAGAGCTATTATAACTTTGCTCTAAATTAACTTTCTCGTTGGCGGCGCTGTCCAGAATGAGAAAAATAATAAAAAAATAAGAGACTTAAGTGGCAAGTCTTGTAAAACATCCGTGAGAATGAATACTGTAGATGTGAACTGAAACATTTTTCCCGCCAGCCTGTACATCTTCAACAAAATGGAGAGAAAAAAAAGGATAATTCCTTACCTTTATTTTGAGCGTGCGATGCAAAAATCTATATGGAAATTTAAAAAAAAAGTATTATTTATTTATTGTCTTTGTACTGGACACTTTCAGTGCTAAAGCACTGGTTTCTGAAGTGGTTCAGTATTAACAAAAAAAAAGAACTATTGAAGAAACATCATTAAAAAAAATTTCTTAAAACATCGACAATACAATAATTAATATTGGGAATAATATGCATGGTCGAAAGAATTGTAAGTTATCTTATAAAGGATTTGAAATAGAAGTTTTAAAATCTAAAAGTGTCATATGAATTCAAAGTTTGTTTTCATATTTTCTGGGAGGTTATTCCATAATTTAGTAGATCTGTAAACCAACATTCTTTTACCTTATATATTAGTCCATGGATGTTTAATTAGAGTATTATTGCTCTGACTTTGTGTACAGTGCAAGTTCAATCATTTGAGGTTAGAAATATTATAGGAAAGTTTTTTTTTTTTTTATTCGACATGGAAAGACTAGGCCAGGCATAATATTACCAGAAATGATCATAATCCTAGGTATGACAATGAACTTACAATTTTAAAATGGTAATACCGTAAATGCTCAAATAAGCGCCGCAGCACTTATAACATTTTTGGAGGTGTCAGTGCGGCCCTATTCGAGAGCGCCGCTTTGAAGAGCAGTGCCTACAAAAATAATATTGGTGTGGTGCTTTCCCAGCACGAGTCGATTGTTTTCAAGGTATATGAATTGATAACCTGTTCATTTGTTGTCAGTGTAAATACAGTTTGTAATAAAAAACATTTTGAGTCCTTTGAACCATAATTGCATATAACGGTACCTTACGTCGAATTCATGCACATGCACTCTAACACCATGACACATCCACACAAATAGGGCCTATGTAGGCCTACCACAATGTAAAAAATGGTCAACATACTTGCTTGGGCAAGTACACCTGACACAAATCCAATCACATTGGAAAATGCAATTTCTGGGTGTTTCTTATCACATATAATTATATATATTGTTGGGCTTGGTGATTCCGGCATGGCCGGCTGACTGTTGGGACATTTACTCTAATGTAATTTATGCCAATTTTAAGAACTTTATTGCACAAATTGAATGAAATCAATGATATTTTTTGATTGATGGATAGTAGCCATCGCAAAAATGCCTGCGTTCCACAACTCGCGATAGTCTCATTGACTTCACAAGTTTTAATATCACTCTATGGATGCACTTCACTTCATCATTGGTCGAAATCCACAGTCAGATCAATAAAACACATTTAATTCCTTGATTTCTATCGGGTGTTAATACATCTTAGCTGAACTGGTTACTGACCAAAATTGATGACCTTCTTTAAAAAGTAGACCTAGGCCCTAAGTAATAATTAGGAAATTTGAGTCAACTCGGCCCCACGTCAAACGTTTTTTCTCTCATTTTTTTTTTATTGATACCTAACATAAGACAATTAAAAAAAATAACAAAATAAAGTAAGTTTAATAGATAACAAATAATTCACAGAGTTTTCTTTAAAAAAGATAAATTCTAAAGTACCTTAAGATAAGAATTAAATGAAAACATTACCAGATATTTTCGTTACTTTAAAAAACAATTCATTATTATATAAACATTCATTATTATAAAAAAAAAAAAAAAAACTAGTGTTACTATAGTTAACTAACAACGATCAGTCTGCAACTTGCAATAACTAATTAATAAATTTAAAAATGTCAACGGTAAAAACAAGTATCGAGCTCATCTTTAGATGAAGCTTTGTACAGTTCAACCCATTATTCAAATTTAAGATGGTTATTTAAAATTAAAAATAGATGAAATCTACATCTACACAATATTTAGCATACAATGTAACATAATTGAAATCCTTATTGCTAATATCATTAATGCCAAGACGTATATCTTGCAAACAAAAAAAAATACTCTTAAAATAAAATCCAGTAGTAATATTACGATCCTACAATAAATGTTACCAGGCCAATGCAAGGTAATGTGCATATTGTGATGAAAAAACAGTTAACGTGGGTTTGCAATTCACAATAGGAGCCATACAACTGCATGGGATACAGTATATTCAGTTATTGGCGTTGCTGGAATAACAGTTATTATGCAAATAATTATAAGAATAAATATTAGATCAATGTTAATGTAAAATATGTCAATGGTAAAAAAAGAAAACAGTAACAATGTGACTCGTGAGCTAAAATCTGATCATGATTAAGTACAACAGGTATCAATCTATTTTACGATTCAATTTTTCAAAATTAAGTTGGTTTTTAAAATTAACAATAGCGGGGTTTTTTTAAGACACCTTCATAGGAATATAAAATATTTAGCATGCAGTGTTAACAGGATTGGAATCCTTATTGCTAACACCATATATACCAAGACAAATATCATGTGAAGGACTTACGAATAACACTCTCAACACATCATGCCAAAATCAAGTAAAAATTGTTCACTCTCACAACAAATGAAACTGTTTCTGGTCAATGCTACTTTAGGCATTGTCCATATGTTTGCTAAATACAGTCAATGCATGTTTAC